CGCATAAGAATCATGAGGCTCCAGGAATAATACCTTACGTAGACTAAAGGATACAATAAATCATTTATTTATCTATATAGATAAATATTTAAAAACGGCAATAATTGAACTAATTTTAGGAATTCATAATAATAGTAAAAATGCTAAAATTACAATGTAGTACAAAACAATAAAAAAAAGTGTATGACAGAGACACAAACTTAACTGTACATACAATAATACAATAGCTACATACAATAATACAATAGCTACATACAATAATACAATAGCTACATACAATAATACAACAGCTACATACAATAATACAACAGCTACATACAATAATACAACAGCTACATACAATAATACAATAGCTACATACAATAATACAATAGCTACATACAATAATACAATAGCTACATACAATAATACAATAGCTACATACAATAATACAATAGCTACATACAATAATACAATAGCTACATACAATAATACAATAGCTACATACAATAATACAATAGCTACATACAATAATACAATAGCTACATACAATAATACAATAGCTACATACAGTATACAAGTAGCTACATACAGTAATAGGGTATTTATTTACCAGGCTTTATAGTCGGAGGGTTGAGGTCTGAGGAAGTTTGGTAGGATGGAGTGGACCCACCAGACAGCATCACGCTGTATCAGACCAAGAGTGTCAAAGAACTGAGCCAGAGACTGAGAATGAGTCTTGTCCCCTTTGTTATAACTGGAATAGAGCTCTCTTATACTAGCAGAGACTGAGAGGAGACAAGTAACAGATATGAGATCAGCTAGAGAGGTAGCCATTCGCTCCTAAGGAAAAAGAGAGATAAATTATTATTAAACATTTTATTTATTATTAATTTTGTTTACTCATTTATTTTATTTTTACTTTGTGAGGTTGGTCCAAGGCGCTATACTCCGGTTCCGATCTTTGTTGCATCAGAGAGCGAGCGAACACGCTAAACGGGAAACCCTCGCAACGTCTAACAAGCTCTCGTAAAAACCCTCTCAGAGCGCGCAAGAAATCTTCCTTGCGACAAAGAAAATCCTGAAATACAGAACCTAATACCTATAGAGTAGAGAAACGAGAGAGAGAGAAATAAAATAAAAATAAAATGTACAATGTAGATACTTTCATGGATTCTTCAGGATACTGTTGGACTATGCTGGTCAACACTTGAATGTTGGTCGGTTGACGGACGGTCTGAGATAACTCATTGTTAACTACTCGTCTTAATACAATGCTAATGTAACTTTGGTGGACACTAACAAACTCCCTAAAAGAGAAAGAAAATGCTAACGATGTATTGAAAAAAAAGCAATTAAAAATAAAAAGAAAAATAAAAGTATAAATTAGTATACGATACTACTATGAAAAATAAGTACATTTTTTTCCATAATTGTACTCTGTCCCTTTCCTCTCCATTTGACTCACTTTATGCAAGAGACGTAGTTCTGTGAGAAGAACCTGGTCTTGAGCTTGACGTTAAGGAGCGTCTCTAAGACTCTCACATCCTCCGGAGTATTCTGATGAGAATTAATGGCGACTGTAGAGAGCAACTCTTGTACCTGCTTCACCATCTAAAGAAAGAGAGAAAGAGAGAGAGGGAGGGAGAGAGAGAGAGGGAGAGGGAGGGAGAGAGAGAGGGAGAGAGAGAGGGAGGGAGAGAGAGAAGGAGGAAGAGAGAGAGAGAGAGAGAGAGGGAGGGAGGGAGAGAGAGTTGTATAGGATATCTAATAAAGTATCCAATACAATACCTTAGAGTTTTGAACCCATTGTTCAAACTTTTCGGCGACAAAGAGTCTTACTTCAGCGAGTCCAGCTGCACTGGTTAGGAACTTGATGTTCGTTCTCAGTATAACATCTGATGGTTGGAGCCCTCTCTTACCCAGCTGATCCTTTACTAGCTGAACTACATGAGAATGCAACGACCGACAGACTGAGAGGGTAAACCTACAACATTGCACATGCATCAATGAAAAAATGATGATTTTTCAATGTATTTTGTACCATACAAGACAATTTATTAGCAAAAGTGATTTGGCAAATAACCTGTCTGTGGAAAGTAAGTGATAAATTTGATACTGGCCATTTTAAAGTACGAAATGTCATTGAGCAAGCTCAGATTAAAACAAAAATGCTTGATTTAATGAACCACTGATTTGCCAATATCAACTCCCAGTTATCTTGTATGGTATTACTTGTACATGCATGTACATGAGTCCGTAAATGTTGAAAAAGGATCAATATTAAATATTGTTTTGATATCATTAATTACCAATCCTATACCTTGGTTGTACTGGTATGTTTCCAACTAGTCCACTCAGTTCCTCCATTGTTCCTTCTCCCTCCTCTTGCTGTCCACTCTCTTCCGTCCCTCCTCCTCCTCCTCCGATTGTCCGAGTG